CCAACCCACTTTCCCTTTTAAATTTTATTTAATTTGGGCCTATGAAATTTAAGTCTATTTTAATTTAACAAGCCCGATTAATTGCATTTGAGCTTGTATTATTTAGGTTATGGAATTTAGGTCCAGTTTAATTTAATTTGACAAGCCTTATTAATTAAATTTAGGCTTGTATTATTTAGGCTATAGAATTTAGGTCCAGTTTAATTTAATTTGACGAGCCTTATTAATTAAATTTGGGTCTGTATTATTTTGGTTATGGAATTTAGGTCTAATCCAATTTTATTTATCTAATTGATTTGAGTTCAAGTACAAACTTTTATTTACTAATTTTTTAATGTCTACAAATGCTCCCTTGAGACTTATTTGCATATTTAATATTTTGTCAATATGTAAATGGGTCTCGATTTGTATTTTAATTTTAAAAGGAATTTAATTTAATTTAATTTATACATATATTTTAATTAAAAGTATAGTCCATATGTTTTTTGGTCTATATGGAAGTCCCATTAAAATTTAACTCTTGAATGTTGCCTTGGATCAAAGGACATGTACCCCCTTTATATATATATATATATATATATATATATATATATATCTTTTATTGGTGCCTTCTTTTTATTTTTAATTTTTCTCTTTTCTCTTTTTTTTTTCTTAGAATTGTATGAACAAGTCTTAAAAAAAAAAATTTAGTTATTTTTGATAGACTTTATTATTTTGTAATAGAATTATAACCCATGTTGAACTCCAAGTAATACAAAGAATTCAATTAATTACAATTTCCTAATATTTAATTTATTAGGATTCAAAATAAATAGTTCTTTTTTTACTTGAACACATGAACTTAAAACACTCAATCCCTTTAAAACTATCATAACTTTTCTCTATTTAAGGATGCTCAATGACCCAAGAGTGATAGCTCTTGAAATTTTGTTTGTGAGTCAAGATAGCTTTGTGGTTCAAGACATCAAGGTATGTTTCATATTTATTTTATATATATATATATATATATATATATATATATTATTAAATTGTATCACAGTTGGTCTTTTTTTTTTTTAGACATTCTTGATAAGTTAATTGTTTCACAAACCCTTTTTTTTTTCATGACCTATTGATAAAAATTTTTATTTACAGACACTAGTACCTATATATGTTTGACAAGGTTTGACACTTTTGTGATCACCAGCTTTGACGTCAAGGCCATTTGTTTAAGGTATTTCTTTTTTTTTCTTATCCTCGATTCTGTAAATTTATATTATTATCATTACTTTTTTTTGGATATATCTATTTATAAATTTATATATATATATATATATATATATATATATATATATTGGATTTCTTATAGTAGTTGTTCAACTTTGTTTCAAACACACAGATAATGAATGTCAACTTTACGTAAGCCCAACCTATCCAAAAGCTTCCTTTTTTTTAATACTCAAAATCTTTTTTTTTATCACTACCTTAATTTAACACTAGATTTTATTTGTTTAATATTATTTTTTTTGTTGGGTGATTTTGCGAACTTGTCCACACTGATATACTATTTTGACTGGCTATTTCTATTAAAGAATTTTTTTTTTAAAGAGGTTAATGTTAGTGGTAATTTGTTACAAGAATTTGATTAGGTGATTGCTTCCTTTTTTTTTTTTTTTTTTTGGAATTTGCTTCTTGGATTTGTGACATGTGTTGTCAATCCTTTCTTTTGTTTTTGTTCATTATTTAATTCTTTTTTTTTTTCTACTTTAGTTCTTTCTTCTTTCTTTTAAACTTTTTCTTGTTTAATTCTTTGTCTAGTTCTTGGTCACAAATTCTTTGTCTAGTTCTTTAGTTCTTCTTTTTTTTTTTAAAGAACTTGTGGTATTTTTTTTTTTTTGCAGATTTGTTTTAGATCGTTTATAGCCTCCTTTATATATATATATATATATATATATATATATATATATAT